TCCTCTTACCACCCTTCCCATCCCACCTGTTCAATGTTAGGCTTTTCAAATGGGGGACTGCCCAGAGACCCCTCCACCACGGGCCGGGTCATCTGCAGGATGCATTTCCGCAGGAGCTGGAGGGCAGAGGAAGGGGGAGCAGGGTTCAGAGCTGTAGACTCCCCACGCCTCACCTCCTTCACTCCTACACGCGCTTGCTGGGTGGAAGCTCACCTTGAAGAGGTAGAAATAGACCTGCTTGGTGTCCGTGTCCTCCTCCTTGTGAACAGACATGAACAGATTCTCCACGTCCACCACCATGCCCAGCAGCCGGTTGATCTCATCTTCTGACACGTTCTCCAAGTGGGACACGTGGTCAGCTGTGAGACAGGTAGGTGGCAGAGTTGGGGGACACGGACAGAAGCGGTCAAGGCTTCCTGCCCCTCTTCACGGCCAGCCTTGGACCCTCCAGCCAGTGTGACCGGCAGGGAGACTGACCACGCCTGTATCAGCCCTTGGGTCCGCGGTCCCCACCTCTTCTGGCTGGCAGATTCCTTCTCTCTTCCCTTAGGGCAGACACACCCCCAACCCAATAGCACCTCGGGAGGTACCTTTGGTTTTTCAGAGACTTAAGTCACCCTGTCCCAGTAGGACCCAGCGCCTGCCCCCCAGTTCCGAGGGCGCTGCCTGCCTTACCCAAGGGATGCTCGCAGCTGCGACACAGCTCGCTCAGGTTGGCAGCTGGCTGCTGCAGGTCCATGCGGGGTGCAGTGGGGGGCTTGGGGTTTTTCCAGCCATTGCACTTACAGGTTTCATTGGCCTGGAGGCAGAACGACCAGTCACTGACCTGTGCCCCTGGGGCAGGCGCCGCCCCGCAGCCAGAGCGCTGCCCGGATTCCCCCCCGAGCCCCTGGAAGCCTCAAGCCCCGCCCCTTTCACCCCAGGCCCCGCCCCCACCTTGCAAGCCGAGAAGACCCCTAGCTTCTCAAGCTTCTTGGCGCGCGGCAGTCCCCGGACTTGCGCCTTCCGCTGGCTGGCGCGCTGCTGCTGGCTCAGGCCAGGTCGAGCCGGATCCCCCCCGCCCCCGGTCCCCCCAATTCCTACACCGGGCCCCCCAGTCCCTGCGCTCCCGGCTGGGGCTG